GGGAGCCCGATGCGGGACTCGATCCCGGGACTCCAGGATCATGACCTGAGCCGAAGGCAGTCGCTTAACCAACTGAGCCACCCAGGTGCCCGGAACCTCATCCTGAAATGGGCAAAATAACTAGCCTACAGGATAATACAGGGAAGACCTGATGCATATAGTAATAGTGCTGAAAATGTTTTATTTTTTCAAAATGTAACTAAATCATTAACATAAACAATGTATTCTTCATTGCTCACTGTACCTGGGCATTGTGGGGAAGGCAGTGTATGTGGATATCTTTTTGACAGGCAGTGGGATACCCCCTGCCATCACTGTCCAAAAGAATTTGCTGTGATGATAGAAATGTCCTCTGCATGATTGTAGCCGCAAACCACATATGGCTACTGAGTGCTTGAAATGTGGCCAGTGCAACTAAGGAACTGAATTTTTCTGTATTTATTTTTAATTTTTTTAAGTTTATTTATTTATTTTTTAGTAATTGCTACACCCATCATGGGGCTCAAGCTCACAACCCCTGAGATCAAGACATGCATGCTCTATTGACTGAGCCAGCAAGGCGCCCTGTAACTGAATTTTTAAATTAATTTTTATTTTAATGTATATATATATATATATATTTTAAGATTTTATTTCTTTATTTATTTGACAGAGAGAGACACAGCGAGAGAGGGAACACAAGCAGGGGGGGTGGGAGAGGGAGAAGCAGGCTTCCCGCGGAGCAGGGAGCCCGATGTGGGGCTCAATTCCAGGACCCTGGGATCATGACCTGAGCCAAAGGCAGATGCCTAATGACTGAGCCACCCAGGCATCCCTGTATTTATATTTTAATTTAAATGGCCACATGTGGCTAGTGGCTAATGGATTGGACAAAAGGTACAGTACAAAAGGAGCAGCCCCAGATCAAGGGCTTGTTCTCTAACATGGCAATAGCATCACTCACCCCCTGGCTTTCTGAGCAACCGTATTTTGGAACACTTGACTTCAAGCCAGCCATAAGATCTTTTCACAACATTTCTCCTTACTCAATCAGGCACACTGCAACTATGGAGAGGACAGCCTGGGGCACAGTAGGCAAGCATGTTTGGATCAAAGACTTCAGGTCAAGTAGAGCTGCAGAGGCAGGACTGTGACCAGGGGCAAGTGCCAAACATAGTGACCATACTTGCAAATTATACATATACGTATCCTCATAAATTAAGAACATGTGCAAGTAGTTAAGATTTATTTTTATTCAGCTAATTGCAAACGATTAGAAATAACTCAAGTATCATTAATAAGTTACATTAGGGGTGCCTGGGTGGCTCAGTCGGTTAAGCGTCTGCTTCAGCTCAGCTCATGATCCAAGGGTCCTGGGGTCGAGCCCTACGTCGGGCTCCCTGTTCAGCGGGAAGTCTGCCTCTCCCTCTCGATCTGCCTCTCCCCCTGCTCATGCTCTCTCCCCCCCCCTTTCTCAAATAAATAAATAAAATCTTTAAAAATAATAACAAGTTACATTAGATCTATAAAATGGACTAGTACATTGCCATAAAAAATATTGAAGATAATGCTTATTATCTATAAAATGTTCTACATATCACTGAAAAGAGGAACAAAATGGTAGGTACAGAATGATTCCATTTGGTTAAGAAACTTATGTATATTTATGCAGATAAAAGACCAAAAGGATTTATGTGTATCTGTATAGATAAAAAACCAGAAGGATTTACCCAGTGACTGACACTGATTATAGGTGACTGGGATTATAGATGACAGCTAACATTTTTTTTCTCAATGAATTTTGTGTGTTGAGATTTCATTTGAAAACTCCTCACATGGGCCACTGACCCTCTGATTTATTGATTTTACTGATTTATTTTTCAGTGTTATATCAGTTTTTAAATATGAAGGATAGATGCAGACTAAACGTATAGGCCACCAAGCCCAGGCTTATGGACAGTTAAGCTCTCTATTTTTTGTAATTTGTTTTTGGTGGTTTTTATCACACAGATTTAAAAAAAAAAAATTTGTGGTCTAACTTATTAGTTACTTTCTTTAGGACTTCTGGGTTTGATAAAATGTTAGAAAAGTTTCCTCCATTTGGAGGTATAAAAGATTTCTCTATGCTTGTCCTAGCACTTTTATGGTGGTGTTTTTAACATTTAATATATCTGGAATATATTCTTGTGTGAGGTCTGAATGGTGGATCTAACTTTTCTCCCCCCAATGTCTGCCCAGTTGTCCCCCAACAGCATTTACTGAGGAATCTCATCCCCACCGCCCCCAACTGAGATGAGATGCTACCTTTATCACAAACTAAATTCTCATATGTACTTGGCCATATTCCTGAACTTACCACTTTCTCCCCTCCAGTGATCTCTTCACTTGTGTGCCAGGACCACACTATTTCATTATTGAGGCTTTATAACTTTGTGGATCTAATCATCTCTCATTTTTTCTTTCAGAATTTTCCCAATTTTGCTTGTTTGTTTTTCTGTGTGATTTTAGAAGTAGCACATCTATCTAAAAATCCTATTGGCACAGTAAATGGACCACATCAAATTTAGGGAGAATAAACAATTAATGGAGAATAACAACTGAAAGAGAGTTGACATCAAAGGTGTTTTTATGCTGTCTTCTGATTAATAGCGTGGTATGAATTTTATGAATTCTTTTATGTCCTTCAGGGATGTTTTAAGTTTACATGTTAAATTTTCTTGATAGGCTTACTCTAAGGTATTTTATATTTTTGTTTCCATTATAAACAGTGTTCATTCTTCTATTATAACTTTATATCATTATATCCTTTAACTGATTATGATTTATATATGTTAAATATATTGATTTTTATAAATTAATATTATACTCCACTAATTACTGAATTACCTTATTTTTGAAGTAGTTTTTTATTGTTTCTCTAATTTGTTTTTTCTTTTTTGGTCTAATCATATTAGATACTTCAGGAACATAATACAAAATTGTATATGGTAATAATCTTTCTCTATTAGGCATACTATTTATTTTTGAACTGAGAGCAATCCCTTTTATCAAGTTAGGGAACTCTCCATTCATTTCTATTTTATTTAAAAATTTACGGAACTGTGGGGCGCCTGGGTGGCTCAGTTGGTTAAGCGACTGCCTTCGGCTCAGGTCATGATCCTGGAGTCCCGGGATCGAGTCCCGCATCGGGCTCCC